AACTTGCAGTGATTTCGTAAACTCAAGCCTACCACGTACGTTTATGACAACATATAATGATCATCATGGTTTCAAACGGCATTATATGACCCCGAGTTATATCCCCTAGGGTCTCAACACTTTTCGCCACCGGGCCCAAAAACCTCAAAATTTCCTAAAAATGTGGATTATAGACTTAAATTTTGTAATTTTTAACCTTTTTTCGCCTGAAAATAAAAATTATCGAGATGTTTACCATGGTCCCTAATACCCATTGGGAGTCCAATCGGGTAGGTGGAACCATCCTATATGCCTTGAAACATTCATTTTACCCGTTCACAACTTGTAGTGATTTCGTAAAGTCAAGCCTACCACGGACGTTTATGAAAACATATAATGATCATATATGGTTTCAAATGACATTATATGACCCTGAGATGTATGCATTGGGGTTTCAAGGCTTTTCGCCACCGGGCCCCGAACTTCAAAATTTCCACGTAAAGCGTGGATTATAGCCTTCAATATTGTAATTTTTTGAACTTTTTTGCCTAGAAATAAAAATTGCCGAGAGGTTTACCATGATCCCTAATACCCTTCAGGAGTCTAATTAAGTCAGTGGAACCATCCAATATGTCTTTAAACGGTCATTTTACCTGTTCACAACTTGTTATGATTTCATAAACTCTACCACGTACTTTTATGACAACATATAATGATCATACATGGTTTCAAACAACATTATATGACCCCGAGATGTATCCATCAGGGTCTCAAGGTTTTTCGGCACCGGGTCCCAGAACCTCAAAATTTTCTCATAAAGCGTGGATTACAGACCTAGGTTTGTAATTTTTTTTATCTTTTTCGCTCGAAAATAAAAATTTCCGAGATGAACCATGGTCCCTAACACCCTCCGGGAGTCCAATTGGGTCAGTGAAACCATCTAATATGTCTTTAAACGGTCATTTTACCCGTTCACAATTTGTAGTGATTTCGTAAACTCAAGCATACCACGTACGTTTATGACAACATATAATGATCATATATGGTTTCAAACAGCATTATATGACCCGAGTATAACCCATAGGGTATCAAAACTTTTCGCCACCGGGCCCCAAAACCACAAAAGGCGTGGATTAAAAGCCTTCAATTTTGTAATTTTTTAACCTTTTTTTGCCTGAAAATAAAAATTGTCGAAATGTTTAACATGGTCCCTATTACCTTCTGGGAGTCCACTGTGGTCGATGGAACCATCCAATATGCCCATAAACGATCATTTTAACCGTTCACAACTTGTTGTGATTATATGATCCTATATGGTTTCAACGGCATTATATGGCCCCGAGATTTATCCCTTAGGGTCTCAAGGTTTTTCTCCACTTGTTCCCGACACCTAATTTCCTCAAAAAGCGTGGATTATAGCCTTTAATATTGTAATTTTTTTACCTTGTTTCGCCTGGAATTAAAAATTATCTAGATGTTTACCATGGTCTCTAATACCTACCTTCAGGAGTCCGATAAGATCAGTGAAACCATCCAATATTCCCTTAAACGATCATTTTACCCACACAACTTGTAGTGATTTCGTAAACGAACTCAAGTATACCACGGACGTTTATGACAACTTATAATGATCATATATGGTTTCAAACGACATAATATGAACACGAGATGTATTCCTTACGGTCTCAAGGCTTTTCGCCACATGGCCCCGACACCTCAAAATTTACTCAAAAAACGTGGATTATAGCCTTCAATTTTGTAATTTTTTGATCTTTTATCGCACAGAAATAAGAATTGCCAAGATGTTTACCAAGGTCCCTAATACCCATTGGGAGTCCAATTGGGTAGGTGGAACCACCCAATATGCCTTTAAACATTCATTTTACCCGTTTAGAACTTGCAGTGATTTCGTAAACTTAAGCCTACCACGGAAGTTTATGACAACATATAATGATCATATATGGTTTCAAACGACATAATATGACCCCGATATGTATCCGTTAGGTTCTCAAGGCTTTTCGCCACCGGGCCCCGAACTCAAAATTTCCTCATAAAACATGAATTATAGCCTTCAATTTCTTAATTTTTTTTACCTTTTTTAACTCGGAAAAAAATTTGCCGAGATATTTACCATGGTCCCTAATACCCATTGGGAGTCCAATTGGGTAGGTGGAACCATCCTATATGCCTTGAAACATTCATTTTACCCGTTCAGAACTTGTAGTGATTTTGTAAACTCGAGCCTACCACGGACGTTTATGACAACATATAATAATCATATATGGTTTCAAACGACATTATATGAACCCGAGATAGCCTTCAATTTCTTATTTTTTTTTACGGATTTTTCACCAAATACCACTGAGTTAAAGCTTAATTCACTATATACCAGCAAAAACTTTCTAATACACCATGTACCACTGAGTTTAACATAGATGTCACCAAATGCCCTTAATGACTAACGTCGTTAACTCCGTTAGTCATTAAGGTTAATTGTGCCACGTGGCTGTCACTTATTGGTTCTTATTAATATTATGTAATTAATTACTTAAATAAAGAATAAAAAAACTTTAAAAATAAATAAATAAATAAACCACCACCAACCTAGCCACCGTTCCCCACCCAGCCAACATCCCTGCCCCTACCGGCACCACCATGTCTACACCGCCCCCACCACAGCCACCATGTCTACACCGCCGCACATCCCTTTCCCTTAAACCATTATCCTCTCAAGTCCCACCCTAAAACTCGAAAAACCCTCTCTCCGACGCCCAAACCCACTTGTCGGCTCCCAGACCCACCTTCCCCGAGCCGGCGAACCTTAGTCACCCCTCAATCTTCCAACTCCACCCCTTTCCTCCCTCTGAACCACCACCCCAAAACCCTAAAACCCCAAAATCAAAATCTAGGGTTTCGATTTTGGGTTTTGGGATTTTGGGTTCAACTGCGGCTGGTCAGGTGCTTAGCGTGGTGGTGTAGTTGGTGCCGTGAAATGAAGGTAAGGTGTTGCGGTGGTTTGTAGCTGGTGTCGTGTGGTGGGGAATTGGAGGATGTGCGGTTTGTGTGGGTGAGCTGGGAGGAGGTGCGAAGTAGAGTTGCGTGGGTGGTAATTTGGGCGGTGTTCGGCGGCAAAGGGCTGGAGTTGGTAATTATTGTTGCAGTTTGTATGGTGGCAGCAACGGTGTGACTAGAGATGCGGGGGAGAAAGGGAATTGGTTGCGTGGGGCTGTGATTGGTGATGGCAGGGAGGTGGTCAGGTGTTGGGTATGGTGGATCAAGGGAGAGATTCGTGCACCGGCGCAAGGCTGGGTACGGTGAAAGTCAGCGCCGACCCGGTGGTGGTTCAAGGCTTAGAGCAGGCGGCGAGGGGCTGGGCTGATAGGTGGCGGTTGTGGGGAGGGGAGATGGCTGACAGTTGGTGGTGGTTTTTTTTTAGTTTTTTTTGTTAAAGTTTTTTAAATAATTAATTGATTAATTATTAAAGTAAATAGTTTAAGTAAGAGCCAATTAGAGGCTGCCACGTGTGACATTTAATTCTTCATGACTAACGGGGTTAAGAAAAAGGGCATTTGGTGACATTTATATTAAACTCAGTGGTACATGGTGTATTAGAAAGTTTTTGGTGGTATATGGTGAATTAAGCTTTAACTCAGTGGTATTTGGTGAAAAATTCGTTTTTTTTTTACCTTTTTCCGCCCGAAAATAAAAATTGTCGAGATGTTAGCCATGGTGTCTAATATTCTCTGGGAGTCCAATTGGGTCGGTGGAACCATCCAATATGCCCTTAATCGGTCATTACCCGTTCACAAATTGTAGTGATTTCGTATACTCAAGCCTACCCAATCGTTTATGATAACATATAATGATCATATATGGTTTCGACGACATTATATGACCCTGAGATGTATCCCTTAGGGTCTCAAGGCTTTTCTCCACCGGGTCCTGACACTTCAAAACTTCCTCAAAAAACGTGGATTATAGCCTTCAATTTTGTAATTTTTTAACCTTTTTCTCCAGGAAAAAAAAATTGCCGAGATGTTTACCATGGTACCTAATACCCTGGGTCGGTGGAACATCCAATATGCCCTTAAATGGTCATTTAACCTGTTCACTACATGTAATGATTTCGTAAACTCAAGCCTACTATGGACATAATTATCATATATGGTTTGAAACGACATTATATGACCTCGAGATGTATCGGCATTTTACCACCAAATATGCCTTTAAATATTCATTTTACCCGTTCAGAACTTGTAGTGATTTCGTAAACTCAAGCCTACCACAAACGTTTATGACATTTACTGATCATATATGTTTTCAAACGACATTATATGATCCCGAAATGTATCCGTTAGGTTCTCAAGGTCTTTCGCCATCGAGCCCTGAAACCTCAAAATTTCCTCATATAGCGTGGATTATAGCCTTCAATTTCTTAATTTTTTTTACCTTTTATCGCTCGGAAATAAAAATGGCCAAGATGTTTACCATGGTCACTAATACCCTCCGAGAGTTCAATTGGGTTAGTGGAACCATCCATAATATATGGAAGTAATACAAATTAGACCCAAATTCATAAATTAATTACTCGAATAAAGAACACCATCATATAATTAAGCCTAATTTTATAAAGTAGGTTACCAATTTTTTTGTTTTAATTGTATAATTTGAATTTGCAATTAAAAAAACCTGAACAACAAATGGTATGATAATGGAGGAAAAATATATTGTTTGACCTAGAATGACGTCATATAGATATGACTTTGGGCAATTTGGTGGGAATATTTAGCCTGTTTGGTTATTTATGGAAACTGAAAATTTATGGAAATTGATAAAATTAAAAATTTATGGAAATTGATAAAATGTGTAGTTATTTAGTTGACGCAAAAAAAATAAAACTGAGGGAAGTGAGAATTCAAGGTAATTTTAATTTTCCACAAATCATGGGAAGTAAATACCCTAACCTCCTTAGTAAACAAAATTATGGGAATTTCAATTTCATTAAGGAATTTATTTCCCATGAAATATAAATTCTTATGGGAATTAAATTCTCAATCATACAATACGTTAATATTTTTGAAAATAGTATGTGGTAATTTTTTATTTTTTTTAATAAAAAAACGTTAAAAACAATAGATATATAAGGTGGTTATTTCTAAACAACTTTTGGATGTGGCCAACTAAAACACAAGTAATTCTTGACCGACAAAGTAAATCACCGTAACCAAGTAACCCCTGACTGAGTAACCCATGACCCATCGTCTAATCCTGACCGACCAAGTAATCCACGATCGAGTAACTCCTAACTGAGTGAGTAATCCATGACTGATTGAGTAACCCATGACTGACTGAGTAACCCCTAACCAAATAACCCCGAAATGAAAATGAAAGTTTGTGTTTTTAAATAAATCCTTTTTATATAAAAAAAAAAAAATTAAAAAAAAAATGGAATGTAGAGGATTATGAACGAATTGGGCCTTGATGCATTAGGGTTTATACAGTTCCCAAATTTCATCTATATAATTCGACGCCGTTTTTCACTATCAACACCCACTCATCTCATCTTCCTCCCTCTTCTTTCTATCTCGCATCTAAACTGCTCAATTATTAACAGCAACTTCTACAAAACTTCCCCATTTTATTGTTATTTATATAATCTTCTCAAAACCAAAAACCCATCTTTGATTTTCAGGTATCTTCTTAATCATCAAATCGTTGTTTTGTATGATTTTGATTCAAACAATTGTGATTTAGGGTAAAATTTTGGCATATTTCAGACACGGGTATTAGTTAAAGTTCAATAATTATATACCTTTTGCACGGTGCCAATACTTATGCTATTCATCACGATTGGAGGGAATTTCTTTTATTTTTCTCTATAATTTCCCTTCAAATTTAAACTAGCTATATTAATCTTGTTTTTATTTCATTTATTAATTTCCAAAATTTCCCAGAAAAATCAATAATTGTTATTTTTATATCAATGAAATTGCTTGTAGATGAAAGCTTTATTGCACGGCTCCTTCAAAGAGTCAGCAGCATATGCCAATTTAATGGTTAAATTGACTGCCGCTAGGAGCCAATATTAAAACTAGTCAAATTTTTGTCATTTGCTTGAAATTATACTATTGTTTCATGCTTCAATTATTTGCCTAAATTTGCCATATTTAAATACTTGTAATTATTGTTTGAATTTATGTTAGAAGTGTTTAATTTGAATGTATTAATAAGGACATTATTGCCTCTAAAGAGTAGCCTTATGAATGAATTAAGGTTTCATATTGGTTTAGTTAAGGGGCATAAATTAATTTGGGTCAAATGTTATATTTGATCCTTATTATGCCAAGGCCTTTTTGAGGGGACTATTGTTTTTTTACTATTGATTGTCCTCCAAGCAGCCTTGGACATTTATTTTAATGTCCGAGCTCGTCTTGATTTGTTCCGTGTTATATTACCTCCGTTTTCTTTTTACTTGCAATAATTGAATTTTGTCTCGTATAAAATACATAGAGACGTAATGTAAGATTTGTTTTTGTTATGTGTTTGTTAGGTGTACTTAGCCTTCGAATAACTAAGTGGTTGATCAAGAACCATTTGGTTCAGACAGAGGCTTAGATTAAATTTGGGATAATATCCCTCGAATCGAATGAATCATTTTATGATAAGGAATGTGTTAATTGCCTCATTCCTTTCACCTTGATGTCTTCTGACATTTGTTACAAGTATTTGGTAGTTGTCTATTGAGAAATCTTTTGTTAATGTTCAGTGATGAGGCCTTAACATATAAGATGGTCCGACTATGTGTCGGATCTTCGATGCAATACTCTTGTTAACGCTTGGCTTCTGAGATAAACTATTAACTTTAAACAAATTGAAGTAATGTTTGATGAACTTTAAACACGAAAAAGATCGAATTTTGAGTTTGGAGAGGAGGGATAGTTATGTCTGATTTTTGTGCAATATCAGATGTTTTTATTCCCTTTGACATTAGTTTCTTCTCCGAAAACGATAGCTGCAGGATTTAATGCTTGTACACCATTCTTTGTGGTTAGCAAGTTTGGCTTTTCTGTGACATGTTTTTGGCTAATGCTGTTTTTAACCTGATGTTTAGTTTTGTTAGGTCTTATCTTTTTTTATGATGCAGGTTCAAGGTTGGCTCTTGTTTTCTTGAGCAGGGAAGTCTTTTAGTTATAAAATTTGTTGCAGTTACACTTGTACTAGTTGTTGCTTTGGTAAATTGGTAGTTTGTACTAAACTATATTGAAATGAAATAAAAGAACTTTTTAGCCATTGATATTTTTGCAGCAATGTTTTGTGATTTTTCGCAGTTCACCTCAATTTTAAATAAATATAACAGGTGATTATATGAAATTACAGTTCATGAAATTTGTAATCTATGCTGTTAAGAAGTACAGTTATGTAAGTACGATGAACATCCTCTTTAGGTTAATCTATACTGTTATGAAGTACAGTTGTGTAAATACAACTGAAGATTACCTACACTAAAAGTCATGGAAGTACAAGATTCATATTGTGATTCAACTATTCTTTGGTTTTTCGTCGGAAAAACAATAAAAGCTGTTCTTTGGTTCAACACACTTGGAAATGATTGTCTTAATATAACCATTAACCAGTACTCCATTTGGTGGTTCAAGGTACATGGTAATGGAACCAACCGGCAAAAAGCATTAATGCTGCAAAGACCAATGCGCCAATTGCGGTACAATAAAGTTGTAATTCACTAATTATTCCCGATGCTCGCCAAATCTGAAAAAACCCGGAGGTTAGAAACCTCCCCCTACATCACCATTCAATATTTCTTGGCCCACTATCGGCCAAACTACTTGGGCACTAGGTCCAATGTGAGTAGGGCCTCTGCTATCTATTCTTTCACGATTCAGTTCAACTTGAGAGGGTTTTGGTACTAGTGAATTGTAGCCTTCAGTTGGGTTTGCCAAAGGGCTAATTTGAACTTAGTGAATCAAAGCTGTTAGTTTATCAACTAGACTTGCTCACTTCAGTTTCAATGACAAGCTTTGGGAGGGTTTTAAAGGCATGAGTAATCACTACCCTTTCAAAACCCAGAAGTCACGTTACTGTTATAATTCTACAGTGTAATGACCCTTTTACCCTTGCTTCATTTTTTTTTCTTTTTCTTATTTTCCTTGTTAATTGACTCTGGTCTTCAACTTCAATTGCTTTTTCCCCTTTTCATGCTCCACCGTTCATTTCTGCCTTTTGGTTTCTCTCTCCTTTGAACCAATCTTTCTCACTCCATCTCTCCTTTTTCTTTCTGCCATATGCTTTCTCACTTACCCAAGAGCGGTGGTGAATCTCTCCGATCCTCCATTGAAGGAACTTCTAAGCAGCTTGCGAGGTATGTCAATGCTGATTTGATTTTTTTTTTTTTTTAATTTTATTTTATACTCATAACCTAGCTCTTAATCGTGATTAATTTGATGTTTTTCTTGATATTTAGATGAACGCTTATCTAATTATATTTAATTTGGTCTATACTCGAAATTATAGATTTTTGAATGATGGGTGTTGTTTAATTCGTCGTAATTTTCAATGATTATATGACGTGGGTTGGATTGGATTCTTATGTATTTGATTTGGGTTTTTCTTTGATTTTTAATTTAGTATGTGGGTTGATTTGGATTCTTAAGTATTGATTTTCAATTTTCAATGATTATAGATTTTTTTTTTTTTTTTTTTTTTTTTTTTTTTTGCAGAAGGTAGATCAATATATCTTTATATCCATTATGTTTGTTCAACGAGTACTATGAGGGGTGTATGAGTCACAAATGCAAATTGCAATTAAAAAAACAAATAGTACAAGTCACAATTTAAGACAAAAAATATGAACAAATCAATATTTGCTTACAGATTATATTGTTAGTAATAGTTGAAAATCAATTTCAGGAAAATGAAATTCAGTTTAATGAAGGGACAAAATCAGGAAAAGAAAAAAACAAGAATTAAAGAAAAAAAATTAGGAAAAAGTAAAAATATGCACTTAGTTTTGCTCTTTATGGAGTTATTCAAATAGGTTGAGTTTGATTCCTATGAATTGGATTTTGGTGGATAATGGATATTGTGTGCTTTGTGTGTAAAATAGATTAGAGAATGTAGATAATGAGCAGGAATGCAGCTAAATTAGTTATGTTATGTTTAAAAATACTTGTTGATGGATGGTTTGGGATATTTTCGACAAATTCGTGATTGCATTTCTTACGGTGGCTCGAATTCTTAGTTTAGCAATGTCTTTCTTGTTCTGAGCATATGTTATGGGATTTTGAAGGAAATCTTAGATCCTGTTGATTGAATTTGGCTTGAACAATTGAACACTAAAAAGTGAGTTCTTCCATCATGCACTCCCTCTCTCACGTTCTTGTTTCATCAATGCATCCAATCTTGGCATCTTGTGTCTGAGAAAAAAGCGGTCTATCTATTAACCCCATTGAACACAAGCATGCATATTTAGAAATTCATTTTTCAACAATGTGTTTAAATATGGTGGCTGTATCAACTCAATGCTCTTATTATTGTAATTATTTTTAAATTGTAGAGTGCTTAGTGCTTTTGATGCATTGAGGATTGGATATCATATATTCAGCCACTATGGATGAAGGGGGCCGAGAATGTGGCTCCTGTTAGTCAAGTAAAGGATATATATTCGAGTCCAAGGTAAAGAAAGTGAAAATTTGGTGGAGAGCTGCAATGTACTGGAACCACTAGGGAGGGTTGCTCTTAGGGAAGGGGATATCCGAAGGAGCTCAGTCCAACAATTTGTGGATATATTAGGTTCAAACGATGTCAATAGTGATGTAGATGTAGTGGAAATTCTCCGAGATACATGTACAAGTTACCACGAAAGTGGGGAGATCAGAGTTCGTGATTAGATGATGCTAATGTGGATTAGATGATACAGAGCAATGAAAAGTGGGGAGATCAGAGATCAGAGTTCAGGATTAGATGATACAGAGCAATGAATTTGAGGTAAATAGGTCACAGTCAAACAAATATTGACTGATCATACATGAAAAATGTTTTCTATGTGAGATAGGTAGAAAATTTGGCATTAATTAACAAAGAGTCAAAGAGACCCTTTCATGAGTTTCATACAGCTCCTACCTTAAGACTTTCTAGAGGTGCACCACTATGTCTTTGTAAAACCAAAGTATGGACTACTTTCTTTCTTGAATATGAGTTAGTGATTTGATATACTTTGTGGTTCGTTAACTAACAGTGTCAAATTTCTTATAGTAATTTCAATAATTCTTGATAGTTTATTGAAGGAATCTATACAATAATGTTCTGAGTTATTCAATTTCATGCGAAAGTTAGGTTGAGATTTATAGAAAGAGAAAGTCAAATGTACATATACCTAACTTAAAAAACAAAGTTTCAGCATGAGCATAGTCAAATTCTTGATGATGAAAATATGAAATTGATATGTCTTAAAATGTTTCTTTCATCTGTTGCTGCAAATATGAAATATGAAGTGATAGATTATAATAATGAATTGATGATGCAATTCTTTTCTTTTCTGCTCTTCTAGAATATAGACTTAATCTGAAAGTGTCGCTGAAGATAATTATTCTATCAGCATCATACCTCAAAAGTAGGCACAATCATTGTGGTAAATTCCGTAGATGATGATTAAGATTATTCAGTTATTTCACCATTAAAAAAGGCATTGCATAATTGCGTTGCTTGGCTAATTAAAAATACCTCATAGAGACTTAGCATATATGTTATACAAGTGGACCATTCTTGAACTAAAATCACATAGAACAAACCACCCTCCATCTTTTTAGGATTCATCTTAATCTGATTAACTTGTAGTTATACAAAATGCAGTATTAGAATGTTATTTTAAAAAAAAATGTATGCATTATTAGAACCCTATAAAAGGCAAGTCTATAATCAAGAAGATAAGAGGGAAGAGGGAAAAAGAGAGGATGATAAAATAAGATAAAAGTGCTAAAAACTTTGTTGTGTTCTAAAAAGTAATTTTTTTTACCATTCGCTTACTTGCTGTTCCTATACATTCTCATGAAATTATAGTTCTCACAATTTAAGTCCTTTGCAGGATATATCTCGCTTATTGGATTAGCTAGGCAAATAAAATATAAGGAGTATATGTTATTGCCCCGTGCTTCAGATTTTGAAAATGGCTTTGACATAGAGGTCAGAACTAGGAAAGGCCAAAACAAGTGGTTCAGTTTCCAAGGAAATTGATGAAAATACTGAACTCGAGGAAGTTTCATGTGTGATAATGATCCTTTTGTACAATGTGTGGTTCAGAGAAGACTTGGAGGTGCATAAGAGGATGCAAGCTACATTCTCTTAAGGTTTCTTTTTGTGGCTTTACAATTTCATGAGATAGTTGCTATTTATTTCTATGATTTCTAGCATCTATAACTTATTTCTCTTTGACATTTTTGGTCACTCCAAATATCTATGACATTTTTGGGAAATCTACATGGTAAAAAAAATATCAGTGTTCTGTCATTGTCACGAGTCTCATATATACTATTACATTGAGGTGATTAATTTCCAACTCCTCTTTCAAACGTTTTCCCAAGATTTCATATTGTTGTAACACAAGTTGTGTTTATGTTAGCAATGGACCCCATAAATTTTCTTATTTTTTTTTGTACACAAGTTGTCTTTGTTGTGTATATATATGATGCTTTAGATTGATCTGACATGTATGTGATGTCCCCTTATTCATCTATTCCAACATTTTAAAGTCATTGATACGTTACTCAGTGATCCAAAATCCGGTCTTTTCTTGCTAATAACAAGGTGTTGACCGTGACGTTTCTTTTCTTGTAGTTGTTTTTTTTGTTCGTAGTACGTTGGTTTAGTGTATATGTAACTCTGGTTTTGTAGGTCTTCATTAATCTGCAAATATAGTTTGCCTCAGGTTATAAGGTTATTATGAAATGTGAATGGTTGAGCCTCACAAGGTTATTATTGTGTAAACATTGCTTTGTACCTAAGGAGGGCATTTGATCTTTGATTGTTTAGGAGCAAATTTTCTTCCATTTTGCTATTTTACTGAATTGTTTACTCTTTTTTACCAAAATGCTTTTGTTGTAAATGATATCTATCCCTTTTGTGGTTGAAGCACATACTTGTATATTATAATTAGCATCTTGATAATTAATTGTATTAGAATTAGCATCTCGATAATTAATTGTATTGGTGCTCCTTCTCCATTGAACTTTGGTTATTTCTTTATTTTTCTTGAACTATTTCAAACTTACCGACTAGCCAAGGCAACACTAGCTATCAACCTACAAGAAGTTTAAGTAGTTATTGATGGATTATATGACTATCAAAATATATTACTTAAGTTAGAAGTTATGAGTCCTTTAGTTTCTTATTTTTTGCTTTAAAAGTGATAATGCATTAATTTACTTTACTGCTTAAACTTTAATGTTAACATCTTTTGAAATGTGTAATTTGAGGCATGTGGGTATTTAGAATTGCATATCAATTGATGTATATGAAGGCTATTAGCTTAATTGGTAAAGCATTATGCTATCGTGCATAAGATGTGGGTTCAACTCCTACATAGCCTAGATAAAAATGGTTTGTTATGATTGATGTGTTTCAGTCATTACTTGTTTTGTTACGATTGAATCTTGTGATATCTTCACATACTGATAATTTCATTTTTTTTATCAAGAAATTGAACGGTATAAACATGTTTCGATTAGGGTATTGGTTGTGATTGGACTATAACATTTGCTTTTAGAATTCTCACTCCTACTATCAAATCAAGAAATTAATGTTAGCTTGTTAGGATTTTGTAGCTTCATTAACTTTGTGTAATAATGGAATTGGTGACATGGTCAAATTACATATGTTTCTTCTATAAGTGACATTGTTAGAATGGAGTAAAATTCGAAAAAGTAATCAATTAAGAAATATTTGTTGTATTTAAATAATCCTGAAATAGGGGAAGGGTATAAGAAAAGAAGCTTGATGATCAAGGAGGGAAGGGTAGAGAATGTGCAAAAAAAGTGAGATAGTATGGAATAAAGCTAGAGGAAGAATAATTGGGGAGTACTTTAAGGGACTACTTTTAAAGTGTTAGAAATAGATAAAGCAATCTTAAGGTAACTGGGAGAGAGGGGGAGAGGAAAGGAAAGAATATGTAAGTAGGAATTGACTGTAACGTCTATAAGATTTGCAAATTTATAAAAAAAAGAGAACGAGAAGGGTAGGGAGGGGTGAAAACATTTTAAAAGCCATGTCAATAGTGAAATAAGGAAAAAATTATAGAACACTTTAGAAAATCATTAATTAAAAAAAAAATAAAAAACAAACTGTTAATGAGAGAGGCTCGAACTCTCGACCTCAGGATCACTCAACTTAGCTATGAGACCTACGCGCTAGCCAACTGCGCCACCACCCCTTTTGTTAATTACCATTTTTCAGCATTATATAGGAAAAAAGTTGTCCATGTTATCAATTTATTGCTGAAACTCTTATTCATTACAATACTGTATTTCTCCTTATATCATCTCATGTACACATCCCTACTACATTAACAATGCTAATATACCTCTCCAAAAAAAAAAAAAAAAAAAAAAAAAAAGAAAAAACAATGCTAATATACCTTATCAGCCAAAAATATTTGTGATTTTATCACGGGATTCATATCATTTCAGACTTTTGGTTAATCCCTCTAAAAAATATGAAAAATAAAATAAAATAAAATTAAGCTAGACCTTGATTTTAGTTCAAAAATTTCTGGTAAATACTTTCACAAAGGGACTGTATATCATTGTTTCTACATGTGCTCATTTAGAAGAGCTCATAATGAGCAACAGAGAGCTCATAATGAGCAACAGGCTAGTGTGTAGATGTATCATGTACATGATACATAAGAGTGTATAATACTTAGAGGCATCATCTATAGCCGAGCTACAATAATAACATGAACTACAAGTCTATGACTATTCAATGTTTGTTAGTCTGCAATGTATCCCTTAAAGATCTTGGAACAGTAGAGGCTTTATTAAGCATTTCGAAATTGCAATTGAATAAAATAGCCAAGCCAGGAATAATGCAAAACAATACTGCATCAAAATTGCTTGTACATATGTTAAATGTGTTTTACTGGGTTTGACAAGCAGAATGCAAAGGTAGAACACACTGCCATGTTTGAAAAAATTCTACAAAGAACAGAACAATTATAAATCAAATTCCTAGAAGTATGATCTTAAAAGCAACAAGAACAATCAAAAGGGCATTCTCCAGTGTTACCACCATCTTGACTGTTAAGTCTCAGCTCTTCTTCTGAGTAAATAGCAAGTCCGTCATTTGTTCTCCTTCTAGGCTTGGAGTCAGGGTTCAAAGCTTCATTTTCTTTAAGACTCCTCTTCATCTTTTTCTTTATTTTCTTTGATTTTTCATTTGTGTTGCTAGTTTTTTCAGCCTTCTCTTGCTCAGCCTTCTTCCTCTTTGCGCTTGCAAAGATACTATCAATTTCATCGGCCTTCTTTGAACCAGCAGATGGTTTTTCTTGTTGAGCATCAGGTTCTTTTGGAGCATTGGATGCCTTTGAAGACTTCTTTTTAGGCATATCAGTTTCGTCGGCCTTTTTTGAGTTAGCAGATAGTTTTACTAGTTGCGTATCAGGTTCTTCTTTTGGAGCATTGGACGCCTTTGAAGACTTCTTTTTAGGCATTTCCTACAGTTGGGTGCTGTATGTAGTAGATTATCAATCAACTATCCTGAAATTCCACAGGTATTAAATGCAGAATGGTAAACAGAAACCATAGTATCGCAATGCAATAGATGATGATACATCATACAGCATAAAAGAAGAGGGGTTAGGAATGGTGTCTCTGATGCAACATGTGTATGCATTGAGTGAAAGGGCAGTCAAGCTCATTTCTGACGCTGCAAAGGACTATTTCTCAGCCCCCGCATTGCCTACCAACAATGGCATCAGCTATACAATAAATCAAACCAGCTAATTGTTCTTAACTAGTAATCTAGCATACACTACCAAAATACAATATACAAAAGGTATAGACAACAAGTACAACTAAAGTTCCAGAGTTCATAAATACACGTCGGTGTAGAGTCAGATATTGCTCTAAAGCTCTTGGAAACAAATGAAGCTATGCAGACTTGCAAGGAAGCAAAGTGAGCGAGCGCACAATGATCAAATGCTAAGGTTTATAACAAGGACTACAGTATACCTTAACGATCTGTTTGGTTGGCAGTCATAAATCAAGAAACTGGAAATGAATTTGTGGTAATCATTGGCAAAAACACTGTGTTATTTCAATTTTAAACTTCAACCCATATGCCAAATACACAAATCCAACATTTCAATTTTAAACTTGAACCCATATGCCAAATACACAAATCCAACAAATTTGCCTCAAAAATTAAAAAGCTTTTTCCACCCTCGTATATAAACATTAAGGGGGCATAGAAACAATTACTATTACCTAAGGATACTCCTCATTTGTTATCTCTAAAAAACTCGGGGTAACACATACCGTTACCCTCTTCTTAACAAATACTCTTTCTATAACCAAACAAATGAAACGATAATAGCTAAATGATTAGTTTCCCCCTTTTAGTTGTTTCCTTTCCACTCCGTTTCCATTTTCCAAACCAAACGCCCTCTAAAAGGGATTCATTAGGGGAACTATAATTACGAGCCAAGCCCCGGATCGACTCGAGCTCAATAGGCTCAATTCGAGATGCATCAAATTTCAAGCTCAGCACGATAATCAATAAGGTTTTTAGTTCAGTTCGTGGGTTCGATTAGGGTCATTAGCAGGTTTAATTTGAATAAAGTATCAAATTAGGCTAAAAAATCACATGAACCCTAATTGACAATGCAGACAGTTAAATTAACAATAGTGTGAAAAAAACCTAGAATTCGGAAAATCATCTTACTTCAAAAGCCGCTTTAATGGAGGCGAAAAAGCTCAGAAGCCGCTTCAATGGGGAATTCAAAGTACGGCGGTACGCTTCAATGGAGGAGAGAGAGTGAGTGTGGCAGAGAAGTGCAGCGTATGATATAAGGGAAAATTTAAGTGAAAGTCTATAAGGCACCAACCGAGAAAATATCAAAACAGGGAAATAATTTTTTTTTTTTTTTTTTTTTTTTTTTTTTTTTGGGGGGGGGGGGAAGGAGGTTATTTTTACTAGTAACCCATGGACTTTTATACTACTACCTCCGTTAATTATTACTTGCAACTTTGGGGGTAGACACGGTTCCCAAGTCAAAATTTCATAATTATAAGGGTATGTGATTAAGTATGAGAGAGAAAAAATTAAAAATGATTAAATAACCACCCTAGCCACCCACCAGTCCACCACCACTGACTCACTCCTAAACCAAGACCTGCCGTCGCCACCACCACCACCAACCTTCGTTGACATCCCCTATACCCAGATCGGCACGACGACACCCTCACAAACCCAAACCCACCATCGCCGAGACCCCCCCAAAACCCAAACCTACCACTGCCGACACCCCCTAATTCCAACCTCACCACCACCGCACCCCCTAAACAAAAACCACCCACTCAACCCGAAACCAAAAACCCCCAAACAACCCGAAACCACCCCCTGAACTCGAAAACCACCGGAAATCAAATCCCCACTCAACCAAAACCACCAAAAATTAAACCACCGTACCCATCTTAGAACCACAAAAGCCCTAGCCCATTTTGAAACCTCCCCTAAACCCGAACTTGTTACATTTCCGATTTCACAAAAGTCGAAAATGGTAAAAAATTAAAGGCTATATCCTCAGTATTAGGCTATTTTTGGAAAATTTGACCAAAATTGAAGTGGATGTGTAAGATGACCTTTGAGTTCATAAGAGTTGGGTTTGATTCGTTTGAACTAAAAGAATCCTACCAATTTGTTTATAAAATTTAAAGAAAGAGTTTGGTTCAACTATGTAGTTGTTTTGTCTTGTAAAAACAAACAACTACGTAGCTGTTTCGGAATTTTGTTGTATTGGTAGTGAAAAGCTCCAAGAGATGGTTCCAATATCATTCATTGTTAATGTTGATGATTCCCAAAATTAATGCTATAACACTCCATTGTGGTATTAATATAAAATAAATTGATCGAGGAAGTATAAATTTGGAAGTTTTTGACAAAAATTCATGAGTCAATTAGATTTCTAATACATAATAATTCTTTATCTTTGTACTTAGTTTTCTTTTATGCGGCATTAAGGAATTAAGGGTCATTATCCTAAAATGTTTGAAGAATGTAAAAACTTATATCCTATTTTAAAACAAAAGGCTTATCTTAGTTTTCACTTGCAAGTGTACATAATTGCTTCATACTCTATACGTCTCAGTGTAATTATCCTACTTAGCTAATTAATTTTAGGTAATATGTTGTTAAAGATTTTTTTTTAATCAAGATAATGACAAGTTACAAATTATGTAACCTTTCTATTTAGAGTTGTACAGAGTAGTATTAATCAAACGTGCCTTAATATAGATTAAAAGATAAAGAAGAAAATGCTGGCTTTTGTTGGCAAATTTATTTGTCTTAATATTATTTCGAAATTTCTAGCTATAATCCAATCCAATCCAATCCAATCTAATAAAAGCTAAATATAGTGCATTATTTCCAATATTCATTCTCCACATCTTCCACCCCAAATTTCTCTTTGATCCTCCATCTTCTTCATTAACATATTCTTGCCTCAAAAAGGGTTCTACATTTTATCAACACAAGTAGTTGATAACATCTTTTTAACTAAAGAACCTTCCAAAGGGGACGGGGGATCGGCCATAACTCCGTATTTTGGCCTTCCCCCAACGAACGTAGGTGATTTTCGTAAGGTGAAACATGACATCCATCCTTAGTAACTTGTGTTGTGGTTGTATATGTGGATCATATGATGATGACGACGATTCCTTCCACGCAAATGGAAATGTGCAACATATTCTCACGCTTGATGCTTGGGAGGAGACGTTGAACCTAAAAGGCAAGATTATTATAGCATGTTTTAAGGCATCATGGTGCGGACCTTGTAGGGTAATTGCACCCTTCTATGGTGACTTGTCTCGAAAATATGCTTCTTCCTTGTTCGTTAGCATTGATGTCGACGATGTGCCTGACCTAAGTGATGCATTCAATATTCAAGCCACACCAGTTTTTTTCTTTTTTATGGATAGACAGGAGCTTGATGTGATGGTTGGTTCAAATAAAGCAGACTTACAAAAGAAGGTAGCTTCTGTTATAGAGTTGTATGGTCAAGAATTTTAACATATCATGTATATCACTCTGTAATTTCACCTATACTTAATGTTATGGTAGTCATTTTTTTGCTCCATTAGCTTGTTTGTTTGTTATTTCAGTAAATTTATCAGGCGAGGATGATGCATTATTCATATATCACTTATTCATTATAGACATTTGCATAAGCACAAGGCAAAAAAAATGCCTATATGCCTGTAATTGTATTATGCAATCATTAAGTTCATACGCCGTACTCACTAAGAGGCTCCATTTCACAATAGTAGATACACTTTCCCTAAGAGGCCCCTACAAGTTACTTTTGAATCATTTTCTAACTGTTAAAGGCAAACTATCTACTAGTATTAAACTGAAACGAGTATCAAATAAACCCTACTTAGCATAGGGCAATCTTCATTAAATTGTGGAATGACATTTATAATTTAGGTAGAGGGAGGGGGGGAGGGGTTGTTTAGAAATAGTGAGCTCAAGTAGGGTAACCATTTAACCAATATCGAGATTTGTAACCAGAAAACACAAGTTGACAAGGTTTCCAGTCTGCAAGAAAAGAGACAAGAATTAACAGATAGATAACTGTTCTTTTGTTCAATTAGCAAAATCTACACTACAAAATCTGTCTAGAGGTACAAAGCACTACTTGACATCCTAAGAGCAAGCTCGTTAACAAACACACCCCTCCGCAAACGTTTACTTCCTCTCCTATCATAGATGGAACCAAGCAAGAACTGAGCTGATCAAAGGAAAATGCATGTCTACAGCATTATCACCAATAATTCACCATACTAAAATACCTGCCAAAGCAAATATATGTGAAGAGCGTGAAAAACAGATTATGAAGATTAATCAAGGCAGATAATCAATGTAAGGTACAATTTTTTTAAAAAAATGGAACAAATAAATGCATCTTTTTCCTTCTTAGGCAGGAACAGGCAGAGTTTCTTATTCAGAAGCCAGAAGAGGTAGCTTAACAGCCCAAATAAAGGGGAATTGTACCAAAGGCATAAGAAAATGACATAACCTATAACAAGTTTAACAACGTTGGGGGGAAAGAGAATTTAGAATCCAATACAGCACATGAACATACGAAGGGCTCTAAGCAATTTTGAAAAGAAAACTAGAGAAATTAAGAATGAATTGAACCTGTCCAGATAGACATAAAGATCCAAAAAAAAAGGGTAAATATTTATTTGTGTGGTTAGACAAGTGACACCACCCAACGCAAACAAATAGATTTTTTGCAAAGGAAATCAAGCCTACTTTGCATCATAGCCAACAGGCCAAAATAGGTGCACCAATACACCTTCATCTAATAAGAACTCAAAATTCAGCACATTAAAACAATGCAGCATCCTCCTTGCAAGAACTTCTCTATAGTACTATTGCCTCTCAAATGACCAACTCCATAAAATAAAGTATGGCTACACAGGAAATCCAGTGACAATACCAATTCTTTGAAACCCTTGGCTTGGGGTAAAAGTATTATTCATTCCATAAGCCAATCATAGTCTTCACAAACTAAGCATAAATATTTAATTGCAAAACATAAAAATTGCAAAGAAGATACAGTGATCAAAATCTATACCTAAAACCAGACTCATTTTTACACCGCTGTAGAGATACAGTGATTGAGATTAAGGCTTTCATTGATTGATTGATTTTAGAGGTGACATACTATTGAGTATTGAATAAGGAAGTTAGTCAATGTGACTGGATGGGATAGTCTTTCAGGACAAACCTTACTCATAAACGCCAATTCTTGAGTCACAAAGCAATCACTCAAAACTTTATCCTAGATAAGTTTATTAGTATCTTCACAAACAAATAGCATTCCTGGCTGGTCAGATTTAGATGACTAAATTCTTGCAAAGCAAACAGAAAAAAGTTCAAAGAAATTAACACTCTCTCAAAAGTTCATACCTAAATACATTTATGATGGTGAATTTGTGATCAAGTTTGATATTCTACATTTGTCATTGGCCTCATTGCAGACTGGCAAAAATATCAACTATCTAATCAAGAGCAGAGCAACCAAAAACTCACTATTCGACTACTTAAATCCAAATATTTTAGAAGCAAATAATGTCGATTTCAAACGAATCACTAATATAAGAACATATGCAGAGTAAAATAAAATAAGCAGCAAACATACCCAAAGCATTGCAGTAGTTTAATTACTGCTGTTGATTCTGAGGTGGCTGTTGAGAATTTGGAGGTGGTGGCATCCCCGGACGAGGAGGTCCATAGACTGGCACCTGTCCTCCAGGAGGTGGTGGCATTCCTGGGCGAGGAGGTGGGGGAGCTGGCATCCCAGGCCTGGGAGGAGCTGGCGGACCACGCATCATTGGAGGAGGGGGGACAGGCATCCCTGGTCGCTGGGTATATTGAGGAGGAGGCATTTGATAATGCCCAGGAGGAGCTGAACCAGGTCTTGATCCGGGAGGGTACTGCCCTGGGGGAGGTGGGCCTCTTGGAGGCATCTGTGGGGGCCCACCTTGAGGTGGGAATCCTGGCATCTGCTGACCAGGTGGCCGCATTACAGGTGCATTTGGGTAAGTCATCCCAGGAGCTGAGAACTGAGGAGCAGGGACTGGTGGTCGAGAGATCTGAGGCTGCATCATGCCTGGAGCTGGACCACCAACACCACGAACTGGACCAGCCAGACCAGGCTGAGCATGAACAAGAGGTGCGGTTGGAATACCCCGTCCAGCAGCTCGGCCAAGACCAGAACCAGCCACGGCAGAGGCACTCATGGACTTGGCACGTGACTCTTCAGGAGGGGGAGGGCCTTCAACAGTCATGGAAATCAACTCTTCACCTCTAAGGATGACAAGGCCAAGGGTACGGCGTTCTTCTCTCTCCTCATTAGGGTTTGTTTTGTTGGTTTTGCTACCTTTAGTGGGAGGCAGCTTCCGAAACTCCTCACAATCACCAAGGACAAGATTCATGTGACGATCAAAGGCCATGAACTTCCCCACGAGTTGACGGCCATCTTGTATAGTGACCCGCATGCGGTAATTAATAAACTGGAGCATCTTTGAACCCTTAGACATCGACATGTTGATCGATTGTCTAGTCTCTAAACACCAATATGACCTGCACAGATGCCTCACACCCTTATAATCAAAGAACAACAATTCCTTCAAAGTAATTTCAACAATTCCTTCAAAGTAATTTCAACAATTCCTTCAAAGTAATTTCAACAATCTAATCTAAAAACGATAAGTACACAAACAAATATGCATTTCTAAGTGTCCATGATTGACACAAGAATTTAATCCCTCTCGAGCACAAACAACAAGAAATTCACAATTGATCTAGAGTGGGTTGGTTACCTAATCATACAAAACAAGACAACCAACCTTCACCATGACTTGTAAATTATAAATGCCAACACTATAATACTAAGTGCACTATCACATTCAAGAAGGCAACGTACACTAAATTATCTTCTCTTCAAATCTAAAGCACAAATGTTGATCAAGCCCATCCCTGAGGCAGGGCAGGAGGGAAAAAAGGTCTAATTTCATAGTTCAATCCCAACATTAAAAGGTTGTGCAATACATTAGCAACACAAATTGATTCAATTATCTCAAAAAAATCAATGATTTTAGGGAAATTTGACTCAATAATTAAATTAGGCTCATAATTTTCTTTTCTGGTAAATTAATTGCTGGTTATGATGGTCTCATAATCTTAGAATTTAGAACCAAGAGTTGAGATTTTCGAACCCTACACTTAATGCACTGACAATTAAATTAGATGAGATCAAAGATAAA